ATGCACACTAACACCACTCCCCATGCACACTAACACAACTCCCCATGTACACTTACACCCCATGCACACTAACACAACTCCCCATGCACACTTAAACCCCATTAACACTAACACAACTCCCCATGCACAGTAACACAACTCCCCATGCACACTAACACCACTCCCCATGCACAGAAAAACACAACTCCCCATGCACCCTAACACAACTCCCCATGCACACTAACACAACTCCCCATGCACACTAAAAAAACTTTCCATGCACACTAACACCTATGGAACCCTAACACAACTTCCCATGCACACTAACACCACTCCCGATGCACACTAACACCACTCCTCATACACACTTACACAACTTCCCATTTCTCAAACATCACTCCCCATGCACACTTACACCACTCCCCATGCACACTAAACCACTCCCCATGCACACTAAAACACCCCATGGACACTAACAAAACTCCCCATGCACACTAACAAAACTCCCCATGCACACTAACACCTCTCCCCATGCACACGAACACCACTCCCCATGCACACTAATACCACTCCTTATGCACACTAACACCACTCCCCATGCACACTAACACCACTCACCATGCACACTAACATCACTCCCCATGCACACTAAATCCACCTGCACACTAACACCACATGCACACTAAAACCCCCTGCACACTAACACCACTCCCCCTGCACACTAACAACCCATTAACACTAACACAACTCCCCATGCACACTAACACCACATGCACACTAACACCACTCCCCATGCACACTAACACAACTCCCCATGTACACTTACACCCCATGCACACTAACACAACTCCCCATGCACACTTAAACCCCATTAACACTAACACAACTCCCCATGCACAGTAACACAACTCCCCATGCACACTAACACCACTCCCCATGCACAGAAAAACACAACTCCCCATGCACCCTAACACAACTCCCCATGCACACTAACACAACTCCCCATGCACACTAAAAAAACTTTCCATGCACACTAACACCTATGGAACCCTAACACAACTTCCCATGCACACTAACACCACTCCCGATGCACACTAACACCACTCCTCATACACACTTACACAACTTCCCATTTCTCAAACATCACTCCCCATGCACACTTACACCACTCCCCATGCACACTAAACCACTCCCCATGCACACTAAAACACCCCATGGACACTAACAAAACTCCCCATGCACACTAACAAAACTCCCCATGCACACTAACACAACTCCCAATGCACACTAACACCATTCCCCATGCACACTAACACAACTTCCCATGCACATTAACACAACTACCAATGTGCCTTAACACCACTCCTCATGCATCAAAACTCACTCAGCATTGTCCTTATGTTAAAATTATTTTAGAGTATTGGTTGGCAAACTTTTGAAACTGTGATTCGGGATGTTACAGACGTATGGTTGCCATAAATGGTGAAAGTGGGGAGTGGGGGGGGGTTGGGGATTGGGACGTTATATCCCAATCATGGGGAATTCATTATTTTAACAGAAAAGCGAAACAAGCCCATACATCTGCCATCTAAAGTTTGACTTACACTTTCATTTTATTTTATTTTTTTGACTATTTAAATTTTTAACTTTAAAAGGATGGACAATATGGTAATAGAAATGAAAAATCTGTTGCGTACCAACATTGCGTAACAAGCTGTTGTGCATCAACATTGGGTAACAAGCTGTTGTGCATCAACATTGGGTAACAAGCTGTTGTGCATCAACATTGGGTAACAAGCTGTTGTGCATCAACATTGGGTAACAAGCTGTTGTGCATCAACATTGCGTAACATGCTGTTGTGCATCAACATTGGGTAACAAGCTGTTGTGCATCAACATTGGGTAACAAGCTGTTGTGCATCAACATTGGGTAACAAGCTGTTGTGCATCAACATTGGGTAACAAGCTGTTGTGCATCAACATTGGGTAACAAGCTGTTGTGCATCAACATTGGGTAACAATCTGTTGCGCACCAACATTTATTTATTTATTTAGGCATTTTTATATAGCGCTTACCATAAAGCTCTAAGCGCTTTACAATTATTAAAAACATGTAAACTAAGTAAATAAAAATGAGACACTAGGATAGTAACTACTATACTATAGAAACAATGAAAATGGCTATAAAACGAGGACACTTTGACACTTTGACACTTCAGGATCAACCCGAAACAGAAAATGAGGCAGGGCAAGGAGGGTGCATCACAGGTCATAGGCGGACCTAAACAGATGCGTTTTAAGGGACTTTTTGAAAATGGACGAGGTTTAACAATGACGGATATGGAATAGGAGCTGGTTCCAGAACGTGGGCCCATGGAAGCAGAAGGAGCGTTCACCGATGGTCTTAGTTTTGGTTCTTCGGATTGAGAGGGTTCTACTGTCAATGGAAGAACGTAGTTGTCTTGTGGGGATGTAAGGAAGCAACAGTTCAGAGAGATAGACAGGAAAGTGAGGGTCAGTGAACGAGTTGAAGCAAACATTGCGTAACAAGCTGATGCGCACCAACATTGGGTAACAATCTGTTGCGCATCAACATTGGGTAACAATCTGTTGCGCATCAACATTGGGTAACAATCTGTTGCGCACCAACATTGGGTAACAATCTGTTGCGCATTAACATTGTGTAACAATCTGTTGCGCACCAACACTGGGATCTTTCAAGCACCGGTGCCAAACGGAGGGCGTAACGTAAAGTCTGATCTAAAAACAATCGCACCAAAGTTTGTCGGACAGTAAACAAATCGATCTAGAAAGTTTCTTCCTGACCAGCATACGAGCAATGTCTACTGGTATGTGGCTATTGATGGCTCGCTACTGTAAGACATTTTTAAATTGAAAACATTTTGTAAACAGAATACTGCCACAAGGTACTACATAAATGTCCTAATTAGAAAAAGATTCCTCTTAAGAGTCATCGATCAGGGCAGCCCAAACTAAAAAATTGATTTTGAATTTTTTCTTGCACTGGCCTATATTTCAAAGGTAAATCTGGTACCACTCATCACACATCGGACACAATACACCCACAGCCACAGTGCACCACAGTCCCCACAGTGCACCACAGCCCCCGCAGTGCACCACAGCCCCCACAATGCACCACAGCCCCCCACAGTTCAACACAAACCCAACAGTTCACCATAACCTTCACAATTGATCCCAACTCCCTCCCCCCCTCAACTACATCACAAAACTATCTCACCACTACAATACAACACATTATCACAACTGTAACACATTACCACAACTGTAACACATTACCAGAACTGTAACAATTACCACAACTGTAACACATTACCACAACTGTAACACATTACCACAACTGTAACACATTATCACAACTGTAACACATTACCACAACTGTAACACATTACCACAACTGTAACACATTACCACAACTGTAATACATTACCACAACTGTAACACATTACCACAACTTTAACACATTACCACAACTGTAACATATTACCAGAACTGTAACACATTAACCCAACTGTAACACAATACTAACATTACCACAACTGTGACACATTACCCCAACTGTGACATAATACTGACATTACCTCAACTGTGACACATTACCACAACTGTGACACATTACTGACATTACCACAACTGTAACACATTCCACAACTGTAACACATTACCACAACTGTAACACATTACCAGAACTGTAACACATAAACCCAACTGTGACACATTACTGACATTACCACAACTGTGACACATTACCCCAACTGTGACACATTTCTGACATTACCACAATTGTGGCACATTACTGACATTACCAGAACTGTAACACATTAACCCAACTCTGACACATTACTGACATTACCACAACTGTGACACATTACCCCGACTGTGACACATTACTGACATTACCACAATTGTGACACATTACCACAACTATGACACATTACTGACATTACCACAACTTGACACATTACCCCAACTGTGACAAATTACTAACATTACCACAACTGTGACACATTACCCAAACTGTAACACATTATTGACATTACCTCAAATGTGGCACATTACCGCAACCGTGACACATCACTGACATTACCACAAATGTGACACATTACCCCAACTGTGACACATTACTGACATTACCACAGCTGTGACACATTACCTTTACTGTGACACATCACAACAACCGGCACGTTTATCAACAAGCACAACGTATCACTATACAATGTGGCAGAAATGTAACATTGAATTGATAGAGTGATGTGAAGTTTACGAACCTCACCATTAAATATGAACTAATTTTGGTATGTAGAAATCTTTGTATTGGTATGGTAGACGTAGAGATTTTCCCCATACACTTTTGCTTATTTCTTATTCAATGTAAACCGTTGTATAGCATATGTAAACAAGATGCATGATATATGTAAACAAGATGTATTGTATTATGTAAACAAGTTGTATTGTATACGTAAACACCAACGGCTTTGTAACATTTTGCTTGTTTCAGACCAACTCAGTAACAGATGTCAAGCTTGTTCAGTCTGCCAGTAAATGGCGTCTGACGTGAATTTACTCAGTCCAAAATGACCACCAGCAAGCCACTAGATTTTGAATGGGAATCTCCGGAAACAGGGGATGGGTTTGAGACTTCAGGGAACTCAGTGAAACTGCGCAGAGGGGACATCAGCGCCATGGTGACGCGCGAGCGGAACCGGATGCTGGACACAACGCTGACCAAATCCGCCGTCAACGATGGAGGCCAAACTCGAGGTTCACCGTTCAAAGCGTTGGCCGAGAGCTACGGCTTCAGGGTCATCTCGGAGGCGGATCCCAGCGAGTGCCAGCCGGAATACGAGAGCGAGGGGGAGCCGAGCGAGGACGAGAGTGTGACGACCACCAACTACAGCTGTTTTAGCGACCACGACTCTGATGACCAGTCCGAGCAAAGGACCTTCATCCAGGGACCGGTCAGCTCGATCTCAGACGTCAGTATCCACCACAACACTCGTCCTCACCCGGGGTCGGGCAACCCACCCCCTCCCCGGGGTCTCCCCACGTGCGTGAGTAAAGACGGCAACAGGAGGCTGGCCCAGACGGTGGCTTTCGCCAGGGAGGAGTCAGACCCAGTAGTCGACGAACTAGGGACGCCGCGGGATCCGTCTGCGACACAGAGGGGTTACACCAACACTTTACCCATTCACTTCCAAAGCACGGCCATCCAGCGCTCGCTGGGGTCAGCGTTCCAACCCGTGATGGCCAGAACTCGAGTGGGTTACAAGACTCCGGAGAATTCAAAGTCCCCCAGCACCACGTACAAGATCTTCTCGGAGAAACCAGGCGGAAACGTCAAACTTCAATTCCCCATTTCGACCCCCAAGACTTTGTGGACGCGGGAAACGAACGAATACTCCAGCAACAACAGCACCATCATCGTCAGCAAGCAGGCGAGAGCTAAAACTAACAACAGCGAAACTCGAGCGGATTCGGGCAAAGACAAGCAGCTCGTGAAAAAAGATGCCAAAAATAGAGACAGACCACGTGACCGCGATGATGCTTTGTCACTTCCGGAAGAAGAGAGGTCAAAAGACGACGATTTCGAAGGGATGGAAAGAAAACCTCGAGGTGGGATGATCTACCGTTTGAGAGATTCCAAACTCGCCGGTAACAGGAACACAACAACTGGGCACACGGAGCAGGCAACGGAGACAAATGAGCGGCGCACGGATACAAGAGAGCGGCGTGCCGACTCCGCGAGTAGCACCACGAAGACGAGAAGAGGTCCTCTGCAAACTGAAAGCATTTTTCTGAACATGGAGCCAAAATCTGGCCAGCTGACCATCAGTCGTGCCACAGATTCTATTGCCGTGGTCAGAGAGTATGCTGGTAGCACTAAAAGTCCTTCAAGGAAACGAAACTCGAAGACTGCTGGGAACACAGGGACAGGCGAAAAGGATGTCCGCCATCAGTGCTCACTGAAAGAACAGGTGACCTCGACAGAACCATCTCTACAGCCTAACACTGACAGCCTTACTGATTGTAATGTAAGTAGAGTTAACACTAATAGCCTTACTGATTGTAATGTAAGTAGAGTTAACACTGACAGCCTTACTGATTGTAATGTAAGTAGAGTTAACACTGATAGCCTTACTGATTGTAATGTAAGTAGAGTTAACACTGACAGCCTTACTGATTGTAATGTAAGTAGAGTTAACACTGATAGCCTTACTGATTGTAATGTAAGTGGAGTTAACATACTGATTGTAATGGACGCAGAGTTAACACTGACAGCCTTAATACTCATTGTGGTTACCGAAATTTGATCGGATGAAATTTTGTCGACGGTCAATTGATCGACGGAAATTTGATCGAACGGAAATTTGGTCGAATCTTTTTTTTTCTTCAGTTCACACGTTAAAATTTTCGACCAATTACCCTTTTTGTCCACTGACCTCTCTGTCCACTGAGCTGTCTGTCCACTGACCCACTCTGTCCACTGACCTCTTTGTCCACTGACCTCTCTGTCCACAGACCTCTCTGTCCACTGACCTCTTTGTCCACTGACCTCTTTGTCCCCAGAGTTCAGCAGAGAAGCCGCACGTAGACTACAAACGAAACATCAACTCTAACTACGAGGACGTGGACGACTGTGAAGAGATCAGCGCCAGCTCTTTCATTGGCCAGTACCTGTACGAGTTGTGGAAGAATCAGTGCTTGTGTGACGTCAGAATCAGGGTGAGCAGCAGTAACAACAAGAAAATGTTCTCGCTGGTCTGTTGCATACTATGCCCGCCCCACCCCAACAACCTCCATGGGTCTCACATTACTTAACTGTTGGAATAATTAGTTGACGGAGGTAGCTTGTATTTAACGAGGGCATCCATTAATTAAGTCAACAAAATAATGGGGAGGGGAGTTTAAATTTTTTGACGATTGTTGACAAGGGGGAGGGGGTGAGATAAGTTGACGTCAACAATCATGTTTTATCTTTTAAAATTTTAATCTTAAAAATTGACTGATTATTGCATTATTTAAACAAATTTATTGATTGTAATAGTTATATAATTTGTAGGCTTTTAACGCTATAAGATTTACTTAATGTCTTTCTGTGCACTGCTGATGGCTGGTCAGAATGTTAGCACAGAATGTTGGTTAAGTCAAAAGTTGGCCTCTCTACGACCGTAGATTCTTTTTGTCGCAAATGACTAGGGCGGTATGTTTGCGATCATGTTGCAGATATGGAACGAGGACAAGGTTCAAGGGGCATGTGCACTCAAGATAAATGATATTGGTAGAGTAGGAATACGATATTTTGAGAATTGGGAAAAAGTGAAGTACCCAACAATAATAACATCGCTGCTTGTACAGATTTGTAAAAGCTGTAACATCTATTTTGCATCACAAGTCATGTTGAAATAGCATCTTCAACAGCACCGACAATGCATACAAAATTACCACCTGCTCCTCAACAAAAAAAGAATGATAAAATGTGATATAACAAGAAAGATAACCTCGTGAAATGGAAGAACAAAATAAAAATATGGTTACTTCCCTTGGTCCAGTAAAATTGGTTCATTAATGATTTATTTGTGATCGTCCGAGTCACAGCTCGAGTTAACGAGATGTGATCTGAATGTTTACATTCAAAAGTCCCAAAGTCGTCATAATAAATTATGGATATAAAATCGAGAATACATTATTTTGTGATACATTTCTGTGTCTGTATGCTTTATCAGGGCTGTTTTAATGTGTGTGTGTAGCGTACACGGTGAGTGGCGTGTTAAACAGCTGACTGTCCATCGTGTGGACTACTGACTGACCGTCAAAGTACCGGTCATGTTGTCTTGAGGTTGTTTGAGTCTGACGAACAGACAATGAAACAAAATAGGATTGTGTTTACAGGTTGGTAAGAATTCGTACATGGCCCACAAGATCGTGTTAGCGGCCTTCAGTGACGTGTTCTGTCCCAACGAACCCAGGAAAATGCCTTCTTTATGTTTCGACATTCCCAATTCAACGCCCGACGCAGTGTACCAGGTAATCTAGAGGATAGTGTGTAGGGGTGGGAGAGGGGGTATGGAGGGGAGGGTAGGGTGGGCGTTGGGGGAGTGGAGGGCGATAGGGCTCGAGAGAGAGGCCGGGCGAGGTAAACAGTATGTATTGGAAATGTTTATTCCACGATGTTGTATAAGATATTGGTAAGTTAGATGTTAGCCAAAAGCATCCTTCTTCTTCTTCTTCTTCTTCTATATCTTAATGGCCCACGATCAATTCATTGATCATTTTGGCTCCTATGCATGTAGATGGGATTTGCAATGTTTCTGTTACTGGTGTTGATGAGGAAATCATGCACTAGGGGTTTGAAGGCTTGAGGCATCCAGCAGCAAACGAAAATTATTACACAAAAATAATTATTAAAAAAAAAAACATAATGAAATAAAGGCAAGAAAAATTTAAATGAAATGAAAACAATTACTTTTAGAGTGTTTAATATTATTGCGAATCGTTACAATTTGAGACTCACTGTTCAAGAAGTGAGTATTAGTTTTAATAATTTTGATTCTCGAAGGACACAACGCGTGAAATAACTTTAAACATGAAGAGATTTGCAACATGACTTTATCAAATTACAATGTTTTTTTGTTTCTTTTTTCTGTGTTTTTTTTAAACGCGTGCTTCACTAACTCTTCGTGCATTTGTCTAGAATTGTCAACTAATCTTGTCCCCATCCCACCGCCAGATCCTGCTGTACTTGTACACATCAGAGATGGAACTGACGGATGGCATCCTGGAGGAGGTCCTGAATGCCGCCACCTTCATGGGCATCTGGGAGGTCATCTGTCTCATCAAGGAGATACTCTCTAAGCCCACCTTTGAAAACTTCGTGGTACGGCAGAGTGCGTTTGTGTCGGAGGTTATGAATAATTAAACTAGGGTTCAGCGAGTTTAGTCGGAGCAGAACAGAGTGTCAGTGACATGGGATTGTCGGTGACATGGGATTGTCAGTGACATGGGATTGTCATTGACATGGGATTGTCAGTGACATGGGATTGTCAGTGACATGGGATTGTTAGTGACATGGGATTGTCAGTGACACGGGATTGTCAGTGACATGGGATTGTCAGTGACATGGGATTGTTAGTGACAACGTAGTGTATAAATAGACAGTATTACCATTATAGGTCCATACAGGTACATAGTAATACATACTGGAATATGAACGTTAGTATTTGGAGGAGATTGTACAAGCATGTTCGAGTATGTACTACTATGTTCCAGTATGTTCCAGAATGTACCAGTAAGCATCTATATGTTCCATTTTGTACCAGTTTAAACCAGTTTGTACAAGTATGTTACATTACATACCAGTATGTACTGGTATGTACCAGCATGCACCGGCATGTACCGGTATGTACCAGTATGTACCAGTATGTACCCTATTGTTTAATCATTTCAGCGCTACCAAGAGATCAGGGAAAGACAAGGCATGTCCACAAGTTTGCTGAACTTCCCAGAAATTGTTCGTGAACATCTCCTGGAGCTACTGAACAGTCCATACTTCCTCCAGTTAACTGTGGAAGAGGTCAACTCATTGTGTGTGTGTGTGGTGTGGTGTGGTGTAAGTGGGTGTGTGGTGTGAGTGTGTGTGAGTGATGTGGGTGTGTGTCGTAGGGAGGGAGGGTGTGTGTTGTATATGTAGTGTATGTGGTGTATGTGTGGTTTGAAGGGAGGGTTTGTATTTTGGAAGGTGTGTGTGGCTGGGATATGGTGTGGGTTGTTGGGAGGGTGTGTCTGCGGCTGGGAGGGTGTGGGTGTATGTCAGTGTATGCAGTGTGACATATAACAGATAAAATCGTTATTGAACAGAACCACACCCCCTCCCCAAAATGCCCACTCCTCGACCCCGACCCCAACCCCCCTCCCCCGACATCACTTGTCGGCAATCAATGGTTGATTGGGGTAATCAATGGTTGATTGGGATAATCAATGGTTGATTGGGATAATCAATGGTTGATTGGGATAATCAATGGTTGATTGGGGTAATCAATGGTTGATTGGGATAATCAATGGTTGATTGGGGTAATCAATGGTTGATTGGGGTAATCAATGGTTGATTGGGGTAATCAACGGTTGATTGGGGTATTCAATGGTTGTTTGGAGTAATCAATGGTTGATTGGGGTAATCAATGGTTGATTGGGGTAATCAACGGTTGATTGGGGTAATCAATGGTTGATTTGGGTAATCAATGGTTGATTGGGGTAAATCATGTAACGCTCGAAGCATGCCCTAAACGCCAAGAGTTATTGACAAAATTGTCACGATGTAAGATTGTAATATCAAAGAAACTTTACTGATTGGGTCACACAAGTTAACATTCAACTAGACGACCTTGACACACTTAAACAATCAATAAATCCAATACAATATGACACATAATTCTTTAATGTCTTCCTATAGAAATTATGAACGTAAATTTATTATTATAATTCTTAATTTTATCACCCCCCCTCCCCCCATTTTTCTTCCTTGGCCCACCATTAAGATGGAGGCCCTACTGAAAGACCCTGACATCTTGGTGGAATCCGAAGGTGACGTCATGCAGGTCATCATCAAGTGGATTGAGTGCGACCCCAACCGTCGCATCAAGTGTGCGTCCAAGCTGCTGTGCCTGGTCAACTTTGACTGCCTCCCAGCGGAGGAACTCTTCAACATCGTCGATGAGAAGAAACATTTGTTCGACATGGATGCCATCCAGGTTTTTATGGAAGCCTTCAGGTCAGTCACGGAGGTCAAGGACAAAACATGTCAGAGGTTCTCATTTGCACTCATGGGTTTGTTTTGTTTTTGGCCAACACCCCATGTAGTGTACAACAAGCACACCATTTAATTTACAACAAACACCACATGTAGTGTACAAAAACATCCCATGTAGTGTACAAAAACATCCCATGCAGTGTACAACAAGCACACCATTTAATTTACAACAAACACCACATGTAGTGTACAAAAACATCCCATGTAGTGTACAAAAACATCCCATGCAGTGTACAACAAGCACACCATTTAATTTACAACAAACACCACTTGTAGTGTACAACAAGCACACCATTTAATTTACAACAAACACCACATGTAGTGTACAACAAGCACACCATTTAATTTACAACAAACACCACATGTAGTGTACAACAAGCACACCATTTAATTTACAACAAACACCACATGTAGTGTACAACAAGCACACCATTTAATTTACAACAAACACCACATGTAGTGTACAACAAGCACACCATTTAATTTACAACAAACACCACATGTAGTGTACAACAAGCACACCATTTAATTTACAACAAACACCACATGTAGTGTACAACAAGCACACCATTTAATTTACAACAAACACCACATGTAGTGTACAACAAGCACACCATTTAATTTACAACAAACACCACATGTAGTGTACAACAAGCACACCATTTAATTTACAACAAACACCACATGTAGTGTACAACAAGCACACCATTTAATTTACAACAAACACCACATGTAGTGTACAACAAGCACACCATTTAATTTACAACAAACACCACNATCATGATATTCCTCTTTCAAACAGTGCTTTGTCGTCAATTCATGTTAATAAATACACACTTCAGATGGCGCTGGAATTATATGGAACGTCCTTGTCGCTTTTCAAAGGGACGTAATAAGCATAACACTTTCGTTTCAATGATTTTCAGTAGTTACGTCCCTTCGGAGGCGGACACCATCCAGTCGGAAATTATTATTTACTAGGGCTTAATAGGATACAGTTGTTTTTTTACACTGGGCCCGGGTATTTTGAGGAAATATCCAGTGGGTCCATTTTCTTTAATAAAAGCCGGCGTTTGAAAAATAGTTCTACTGACAGTCCTACAGTCAGTCTTACACCGTACCTGCCAATCTTTATTGGCAGGATTTATTACATCATATTTAAAGCGAGGCCATCTCAACTTCCCTAATAATAAAGCATATATTACGCACTAAACGTGGAATATTTAAGAATCTCCTTTGAGTGAACAAATTGGAAATGTTCTTTTACGCCCTACTAAACTGACGATAACACAAAACTTTCTTTGAAACCTATTGATGATAGTATTGATGATATACTTTGATACAGCTGGGGTTACATAGTTACACGCTTTGATAAACCAATATCTTGTTGGGGAAGCGCCTAAAACAATCTTTGAATGATTGATTGATTTGTTCTTTTCAAGGAATCTCGCGCTGAAGCAATCGGAGCCCAAATGTGATGGTCCTTTTAATGTACCCGTGGTATGTACTTTAGTTCCTTTCTTCGTGATCATTATAACCAGGGACGCCTCCAATACAACTCACAAGGTCGGGTCATGATGAACTGGATGACCAGTCAATAGTTCGATAAGATGAATAATTGATTGTACAAGTACACGACGGAACACTTTTTTTAAAAAATGGCGCTATAGAACTGATTGTTAATGGAATTTCTGTCTAAGTAGAGCAGACCGACAATATTTACCTCCTGGACAAACAACTCTACAGCAGGCGTTAGTTAAAATATAACATTATAATTAGTATTTTATTTTTAAAAAGGAGAAAAAGGGGGGGGGGGAGTCCATCTTTATTACTTTTTAAAAATAGTAGCGTGAAACCGGTTTCCGAATAGTTATAAATAGTCTGATCCACTTAAATGGTATCATGTCGGAGGTGACGTGGACATTTGGTTTTATTCCATTCTTTAATTTCTGCTGGCTATCACAGGTTTCAAACCTAGAAATTCTAGAGTTATTTCAAGACTTATCAACAGGTTTCAAATGAAATGTATTGCTTTGGCATGACACATAGGCGAATCTCATGGCAGGCACTAGTCTAATGCTCAGTTCACACGATCAAAGTTTTGTCAAATTTGCGTCAAATTTCTTTTTATTTTGTGTGATAACATAGTGCGTTCAAAATGAAAATTTACGAAAATTTGATCGTGTGAACTAAGCATTAGATATATCAAAGTTCGAATGCCACAGGGTATATTTCACAGGTAATATATCACAGGGCATATATCACAGGGCATCTATCACAGAGATTTCCAACCTATTTGTGAAAGAAAGTTTGCATCACAAATGATTTTGATCACATTGATTTAAGTGACTCAAATTTCACAATTACCATTTAGCGAAAAACAGATAGTTGTATTGATTTTAAAAAAAAACAACAACTGTATTTTGACTCTTTTTTTACAGCAGGACAGAGAAAGAACCCAACAACCGAACTGCCCTAAACAAATACAGCCAGTCCCCACCACGACCTGCCAGGCCAAATTCTGCAACGACAAGGCCGCGAAATCCTTCAAAGAAATCCGCGACCAGTTCGCCTCACAGCGTCAGATAGAAGCGCGTCACATGTTGCAGAGGAACACGCCGAACTTCACGGTAGAGAAACTACCACGTGACCAAGCGTGTATGATACAGACGAAGAGGAAGTTCCTGGACCGAGTGCCCCGGTGTGAAGGAGGCGACGAGAAGCAGATGTATGACTGCGCGCCGAGGGGCCCCGTCATGCAACAGAAGCCCCAAGCCGACAACTGGACCATGCGCACGACGTGCAAGATCAACGACAGGAAGCAGGTGAAGACGTCTCCGCCGTCGGAGGACCAGTTCTGCGGTCAAAAACCCAGGGGGGTGAATTTTGATATGTGCGGGTGGGACGAGCCAGAGTGTCTGTGCAAGAGCAACAAGTGTTCCTCGGCCGGCGGCTGGTCAACCACGAAGGGGGAACAGGAAGAGGAAACGGAGAACGAGGCGGAAGTCCAGCCGGGCAGACGCGCCGTCCGGCGCCGTGGTGACATCATCAGGTCCTGCTCGTCTCCGTGTGACACGACCAGCGGCTCGGAGAAGTGCGGGAGGAAGAGAGTGACGTTCTGTTGACCTTTCAAAAGGGTGGGGTGGTGGTGGTTGGGGTGGGGGTGGTGGGAAAGAAAAGTTATGGTTGTCGGAATACCACTTTTCAAAACAAGAATCTGATTATTGTGGTCAACGCATGCGCATTGAGTTTTCTTGGTGAAATTAGTCAACTAGAAAATGGTGCAAGCTCGTTACGCTGGAGGATATTTTCAACGTTTATTAAATTAAACCTATTTGGGGGGAATATATTTCGGCACAATTTCATAAAGAAGACTAATGGATTCGAGGCTATCAAGCGGCAGTCAAGATAAAGACAGTGCGCATGCGCAGAACTCTGCCTTTCAGTTCTCATGGGTGTCAGCAGATGTTGTATAGTGAACCCTCTGGTGTCTCCACTGTCCTAGAAATAAACTTATTGGATAATTTTAAATGTATTGTTCAAGAGAAAATGTATCTTGTTTTCATAGAGGGATTTGGCAGAAGTAAATGAATGTTATCTTGTTTTCATAAAGGGAATTTGCATTAGAAAAGGAATGTTATCTTGCTTTTTAAAGGCAATGGACAGAATTAAAGGAATGTTATCTTATTTTAAGAAAGGGAATGGGCAGAAGTAAAGGAATGATAATGAACAATGGCAACGGGTTTCGCTTAATTAAATCACACTTGAGTACACACCAAGTATGTACGCACCAAGTATGTACACACCAAATATGTACACACCAAGTATGTACACACCAAGTATAAGACCATTCTTGTGACGTGGGACACGTAAGAGCGGGACATTGAAGCATTTTGTTTGACATAAAGACTTCCGGATTTAAACGCACATACATTCACACACAAACGCACACACACAAGAACGCACACACATGCAGAAAAATGACATCTGACGAGCACGGTCTAAGATGAAGATCTCAGAGTTTTCTTGAAATTCGATCTATTAAGGGAGAGCAATAACTAGGTCATAATATACTGAAATATATTTCTTTCCTTTTCTTAGTCAGAGCTGAATAACATTAAGACATCCGAACATATGAAGTTGTTGAACATTATGACCAAAAACAACACCATCAGTGATTGTAGGAAACACGTCAAGTATGGAGACTAGAAGCAGACCCACAAGAGTCTCAGGAATGTGGCACTAGTCTCTGTGTCATGAAGTACACGCAGTGGGTGGCACAAGGCGTGGCACAACGCTTGTCACAAAAGCCTCTTGCTACACAGTCCCCTGCTACACAGTCCCCTGCTACACATCCTGCTGCTACACAGTCCCCTGCTACACAGTCCCCTGCTACACAGTCCCCTGCTACACATCCTGCTGCTACACAGTCCCCTGCTACACCGCCTGCTGCTACACCGCCCCCTGCTAC